TTTCCCTATTACTTTAATCCAGATCCTGATTAACTCCCTCCACCCAGACAACTCTGAGACCTTCCTAATTAGTTTCTATGCCGTACAGAGTCAACTGCTTGGATCTAATCACTCCTGTGCTCCAAAAACCATCAATGGCTCCCTAATGCTTATGAAATAAAATCTAACCCCCTTCTCCTGATACTCACAGCTCTCTAGCACCTGACCTCAACCCACCTTCCCTTCCTGCTGTTTTCTCACTGCTCCTCCTACCCGGGCCAGAATCAAATTGGGGCAAGTTGGCCGTCAAGGGTCCAACATTTAAGGAGGCACCCCCCTCTCAGGTGCACCCCTGCACTTGCTGGAGCTTGAGTGTGAGGGCCTCATCTTAATCTTGCCTGGCCTCCTACACACTTGGACAACTTTCTGCAGTAGAAAAAGCAGAGGAAGTCTGACCTAGGGTTGAATCCACTAGCTGTGTGGCCTTAGGCAGCTTACCTGACTGCTCTGAGCCTCAGCTTCCTTACCTATAACATGAGGACAGAACTACCTGCCTCCTAAGGCTGCCCTGAAGAATACATGAGACAGGAAGAGAACACAGGCTCCTTGCCTGATACACAGGCAGTACCTTCACCAGTGGGTGCTCCCTTCCCACTTCTCTCTCCTTATTCTCATAATACTGTTCCTCCTTCCCCTACCTGTATGGGCTCACCTTGCCCTATCACCAAATCTCACTCATTCTCCAGGACACTGTCCCACGCCTCTTCCACAGAGGCCTTCTGCAATGCCACAGCCCTCAGGGTTCCTGCCCTGCTCTGACCTAGTTACTGTACAGTCTGTAACTTTTCCAAGGTCCTGTATTGATGTAACCTTTTCCTACCCGTAAGCTGTCTCTTCCCCAGACAAGCTGTAAATCCTTGCTGGGCAGCAACTGTGTCTTACACTCTGCGGTGTTGTCCGCAGTCTGAGAAAGTGTTGACACATAACCAGCCCTTCAACAAATACTCCGGCACGCAAAAGCTGGATAGGATGGTGAAAACTACTACCGACCAGCCATCTTATTTTCTGAAAGAAAAATTCAGCAAGGGCCAGCTACAGTTTTATTAAGCTTTAAAAGTCTAACCTGAGAGGCAGCAGGATGTAAAACGGACAGGTTCTGGAGTCAGGCCTGGGCTGGAATCCTGACTCTGCCTTTACCTATCAATTTTATCTACCAAATCTTTATTACAGCGGCGCTCACCGGACCTTGTTCTAAGCTCGAAGTGTAGTCCGGCAGCATCAGCACTACCTGGGAGCTTGCCAGAAATGCAGGTTATCAGGCCCCACCTGAAATCAGGAACCCTGGGGGTGGGGCCCAGCCACCTGTGGTTTAACAAGCCCTCCAGGTGGTTGATGTTTGAGAAGTGCTGTTCTAATTGTTTTTTAACTCATTGTCCACTCTCCTTACTGTAAAATGGGGCTACTAAGAACCATTTAATAGATTGTTGTGAGGATTAAAAGTAGTTGTCATTCAAAAAAGGGTGGCTTTCTTCTCCCTTTTTATCGTTATCTTTGCAATTACGGGAAGTAATTTTAAGATCTCTTCAGCTTGCCCAGCTTGTCTCCTTGCCACCAGGTGGCAGGGTTTGCTATGGATTTCCCAGAGTCAGAGGGGAATGAGTCTGTGAGGAAGGGGCAGTGCCTGAACCCTCAAACAGCAGTGGTGGCAATGGCAGAAACCAGGCTGGGGGCTTCCCCTGGGGAGTTCATGACTTTACTAACCATTGATCATTGTGCCTGAAGCAAAATGCAAACGATGCAAAGCACGTCCCAGCCCTGCTCGCTCTATACACCCCTTCAGTCTGGCCCTGCAGCCCACTCCCCATGCCTGCCTGTGGTGTTCAGATGGTCAGAGTCCACCGCCGCCAAGGCAGTGCCCCAAAGCCCTCAGCTTATCCTCTAGCCTGTGCCCTCTGCTTATGCACTGCTGGCCATCCCCCCAGAGCTGGCCATTTGGGGGTGACCCCAAAGACCCCAGTGCAATCAATGGTGAGTCCTGGTGCCAGAGGCCAAACCACAGTAACCAACGGATGGTGGAGGGAGGAACACAGGAGGTAGGGTTGTAAGATGAGGTAAAGGGTCACCCTGGAGCAGGCAGGAACGCGCAGAGCAGCTCTGTCCTAAGAGCAGATCCATTTGCTGGCCCCCAACCCCAGCTTTATCCAAAAGAAGGCTCGAGATCTCCTGCCCTCAAATCCCGCTGTGCCACGGGGGGCTCCCTTTCCAAAAGGCACCTATATATTCTGATATAGCCCCTATAAAATGGTCATATCGAAACGTGAAATCAAGTTTTACAACCAATTACTTATGCAGCAGGCAGTCCTTACCTGAGCTTCCACATCGGTTGTGCAGGACTTCCACGCTTTACTCTGTTCCTTGTGGTAATGTTTGCATCCCTGACTCGACACCCACCCCTGCCATTTTATTTTACAAGTATGCATTACTTTAAACACCGGGGAAAAAATGGAAGGCTAGAATTTCGAAACAACCTCAAAGAATGTGGTAAGATTCTAAGGGTGTATCAGTCTGTCCTTGCAAACCATCATTCCAAAGGAGTTTAAAAAAGTGAAATATAATATACATCTCCAAGTACTAAAAGAACAATTAGAAATAATTCCCTGTGTGGTCTAGAGCCGAGAATATGAGATCATATCACAGCTCAAACAACCCTCCTTCCAATTTAGCACAGTCTCAATCATACACAGAGCAGGGATAGCCCTCTTCTGTACTATCAACAGGAGGCCAGAACTACTTATTACTTGACTGTAAGAAATTACAAACACATCTTTAAGGAAAAAAAAAAAAAAAGATAACTGTGAGATGCAATATGCAGTCCTTCCCAGCTACAGGTGAACGATCAGACGTTGAGCACTCTGCTTACGCAGAGGCTGACGGCTTTCTTCTCAAAGGGTCGTCTTCAATCCCTCATGTTTACTTTCAGCCTCCTCAGAACTACTTCTGTCATTAGACTGAGATTCCTCTTACCGAGCGCTCAATGGCCTCCAAGGCCAACACACTGTTTTCATTTAGACCTAATGTCTCCCTGCCCCTTAGATAAGAAGGGCTCGAACTCCCCCCTCACATCCTAGGGACAGTCTGACGCCTTCCCCAACCACCTCTTATCTCCTTGCAGTTGACTTCTCATCCTTTAGCTCCCCATGTGCTCCCAGCCCTCATTATGTATAGCAGAATAACGTAGGTCTGTGGGCTGCCAGAGTTATGTAGAGACATTTCACAACCACAACTCATAACTTACAACTTATACCAGCAGTACAGCTTTGCAAACTCCTTTCTGCACCCCTGCCACGAAGGGTTTCTCAATGGCCATGCCTTCCTTCTGGTTCCCTTTGGCCTTCCCCTCGCATTACTCTGCCTCCTGACTTAACTTCAAAATTCTAGTTCTATTAAGAAGGTCTACTCATTTAAGCCCATCAAGAAGCTCAGGGGAACCAAAGGCCTCTGCTACTGAGCGTGAGACCAGGAGAGAGACCCTGACATTCCAGATTCTCCTTCCGTGGTACCCAGCCTCCTTAGAAGGCACCACATCCAGGGAGCAGTCTCATGCTGCCCACTGGACTCCTTCCAAAGGAAACTTCCCTCACCACACGCCGGTTTTCCTCCTCCATCTTCTGCTAGACTTCTTTATGCAGACTCTGCTTTTGCCCACCCCCTTGGACGGGAGATCCTCAGGGTTCTGCCTTTGGCCCTCTGCTATTGTTCTAAGCTAGTTATTCTCAACCCTGATTACATGCTAGAATCACCAGGGGTAGGGGGGGGTTTGAAAACTCCTGAGGTCCAGGCTGAAATTCGGATCATCAGAATCAGATTTTCCAGCATGGGACCCAGGCCTCAGTAAATGTCAAACCTCTCTCATATACTGGTATCACCTGGAGAGCTTTTAAAGCAGACTGATGCCCTCACCTTGCCCCAGACCAAATAAGGCAAAATCTCTTGAGCAGGGCCTCAAATGACCAAATTGTGTGGCCACGATTAAGAACCACTGCTCTAAGCATTCAACCCTCGGTGATCTTGACTATTGCCAGGGCATCAGTTACCACCTCTAGGGCAATGACTTCCAAATCTCTCCCTAAGCTGAACCCACATTCCCTATAACCTACTGCTTATCTCCACCTGGCCACTCCACAGGCACCGCATTCCTCTCCAAGCTCATTTCTTTCTCCCATGCTCACATCTTGTGCACAGCACCACATGCACCTATTAACCAAGTCAAACTTGGATGTTAACCTCAACTCCACCTGTGGCCCTCCTCACCTTCCAGCCCTGGATGAATCAGTTTCCCAAGCCCTATACCTACCCAGTCTCAACGTCTATGTATCCTGTCCCTCCCCTCCTCACAATCCTCACCATCTTTACCGCTTCTGTTTAGGTCTTCTTTGCCTCCTACCCAAAATATGACCACCTCATACTTGGTCATGTTCTTTCCAGACTCTTCTCCATTTAACCATCTTCTATATGGTCACCAGAGCAAGCAGTTAACCTAAAATAGCAGTTTCCAGAGATGATGTGGGGTGGGGAAACAGGGACACTTTTGGTGGGGTATAAACTCAAACAGCATTGTTGAAGGTCAATTTTGTAATATCAATCAAAATTAAAATCACATATATCCTCCGACCTAGTTATTCCACTTCAAGTAATTTGTTCTTCAAGTATACCTGCACGTGTTTGCAAAGACAATTAAGCACGGATATTCACTGCAGCATAGTTTGTAATAGCAAGTGTTTATAACCAACCTAATTACCCATCAATAGGGAAATGGTATAAAGATCACTGTAGATGCATACAATGCAATACTCTGCACCATTTCAAATTAATAATATGTCTATATGTGCTGATACAGATAAGCCAAGACATCTTAAAATATCTATCGATATACTTATTGATATATTAAGTGGAACAAAGCAAGGTGAAGAACATGGATTTTTGTTTTGTTTTGTTTTTAATATAGTGGTTGGTCTTTGGGGAGTAGATCTAGGTTTCTGAAATAAAATAGGAGGACACTTATTTTTCAGTATTTACCCATTGGTCTTATTTGGATTTTTTACATTGTAAGTAGATTACTGATTATTTGAGGGTACTGAGCAAAGAGAGATTTACACATTTAGCTATGAATTTGGTGATGAATTAGTAATGGGTACAGAGAAAACTAAGCAAGCTATAAGCATGAAAATTATCAATACCAGAAAATAAAAAACTGTACCACAAATGAAATTTAATTATTGTATACTACATGGTCCAGCTGTGAATATTTATACTTCACATATATAATAATGTAAAAACTGACTAGTGATCTAAACAAAAATTATGCTATAACTATATTATGAAGCTGGGATAAGGGTACGTGTGTCTTTGGAAAGGAAAGGTAGAGGGGGGGAATGAGACTTGAATCTTTATCACCTAGAGTAGAATGTTGATAGTTAACTAAAACTGAAAACTCAAGAAACAGCAGTATAAGTTATCTTATTTGGAAATATAGAGATAAATACATAAAACTACTAAAAGAAGTGAAAGTGGTTGCCTCAAAGATGGTGGAATCAGGAATAGGGATGGATGGGGTCATACTACTTAAATTCTTAAAACTATATACAGGTATTACTTTAATAAAAAAAAGTTTTTTAAACAAGGGGTAATTAAAACTGCCATTCTGGGCTTCCCTGGTGGCGCAGTGGTTAAGAATCAGCCTGCCAATGCAGGGGACGTGGGTTCATGCTCCAGTCCGGGAAGATCTCACATGCCGCGGAGCGCCTGGGCCCGTGAGCCATGGCCGCTGGGCCTGCGCGTCTGGAGCCTGTGCTCTGCAACGGGAGAGGCCACAATAGTGAGAGGCCCGCGTACCGCAAAAAACAAAAAACAAAAAACAAAAAAACACCTGCCATTCTCATTTTGGGTGGGGTACATCAGAATAGCCTGGGAAATTTCTTCACCATATTCATGGGCCTGCTGTGTGAGAACTGAGATGAGGTAAGGAATATCTAGTCTGAAAAATCTCCTGAGGCCTCTTCCCTGCCGACACCCTTCAAACCACCCTCCTAAATATTAGAAACTATCATGCCATGCTCCTGTTTTAAGTCCATCAATGGCTTTCATGGGCCTTCAAGATTAAATCCAGACTCTTCAGTAGGAAATACAGGCTTATCAGGGCCAAACCCATGCCCTTTCTATCTGCTTCTATTTCTGGTTTCTCCTGCTTTTACCTGCCCTAGTCAGCCCCATACCAACTTCAGTTCCTAAGAGTTGCTATCAATACATATAAAAGGAAACAGCTAACTTATCACGAGTAGCTTCTCCCTGACACACTGTCTCCTCTACTGGATCCCCCTTCTGTTGCTAACATCCAAGTTGGGATACCACTTATGCACTGATTGCTCCCAATCAGCATGTCCAACCAAATGTCAAACCTCCACACCACAATCCATATCCAAGTGCCTAACTTAACACCTCCCTCACTGGATAGTTAATAGGTTTGTCAAACTTAAAAGTCCCCAAAATGGGGCTTCCCTGGTGGCGCAGTGGTTGAGAGTCCGCCTGCCAATGCAGGGGATGCAGGTTCGTGCCCCGGTCCGGGAAGATCCCACATGCCGCGGAGCGGCTGGGCCCGTGAGCCATGGCCGCTGAGCCTGCGCGTCCGGAGCCTGTGCTCCGCAACGGGAGAGGCCACAACAGTGAGAGGCCCGCGTACCGCAAAAAAAAAAAAAAAAGTCCCCAAAATGGAAACCCCGATTTGCCCCCAAAACTTGTTCCTAAGTCTTCCCCATCTCAGCAACCACCCGGTTGTTAAGTCAAAATTTAAGGGGTCATCCTTGTTCCTCTTCCCTTTCTCTCATCCTGCACATCCAATTCATTGACAAACTTTTCTGTTTCAAGCTCCAAAATGTACCTCAAATCTATTTCTATTTCCATTGGCACCATGCTGGACTACTGCAACAGCCTCTTCCCTAGGCTCTTATCTTCTTTGTGAATCAGATCACATCATTTACCTGTTTAAAACCTTCCAGTGGCTCTCCTTATTGCTTTTTCAAATAAAATCCAAATTCCTTACCTTGGACTATGAGGACCTGCACGATACAACCCCTGCCAGCTTTCCAATCTCATTCAGCAGTAAGGTCACTTAGAACTACCTCCTAGGAGGTCTACCTAGCCCAGCACCAAGAATAGCAGCTTCCCTCCTCTGTGCCCTTGGGCAGTAGCTATTTTCAATAAAACACAAAATCTGATCAAACAGAACTGACACCTGGTCTGTCCCAGGAGGGAATGGGAAGGTCTTAGCTACAACACAAAGGGCCTTCCTTCTCCTAGTCTGACCCACAACAATGTCTACCAACTGCTTAGGGCGTTTCCATTAACTCCCAGTGAGTTCTCCACCACCTAACCTCACAATAGCCCACCTGGACCAGATTAAAGAAGTTACACAACCCACACATGCATACAACACCCACATATTCACAACAGCCCCACCCACCTAAAAAGAGGCCTAGCCTATTCCCCTTGGAGCACCACCACCTCCAGACCCCACAGCGGAAAGTGTGGGCCTCACAGCAGGGAGAATGGAGAGCGGCACTTTAAAGGCATGTGTATCAGGCCTGTGGCAGACTTGGCCTGAGCTCTGACACATCCACTGTGGCCCCTCCAGCCCTTGGCGGGTTTTCTGAATGCACCACGACTTTGCTATCTCGTCTCCAGTCTGGGGTTTGTTTTAGAAGCCTGAGGATGGGCTTCCCTGGTGGCGCAGTGGTTGGGAGTCCGCCTGCCGATGCAGGGGACACGGGTTCGTGCCCCGGTCCAGGAGGATCCCACATGCTGCGGAGCGGCTGGGCCCGTGGGCCGTGGCTGCTGAGCTTGCGCGTCCGGAGCCTGTGTTCCGCAGCGGGAGAGGCTACGGCAGTGAGAGGGCCGTGTACCGCAAAAATAAATAAATAAATAAATAAATAGAAGCCTGAGGATGGTGAGGGGGATTTGCTGTCTTCAAAGTGAAGACAACACACGGTGGCTTCTAAGGACAATGTGGAAGCTGAGTGACCCTGAATTCTTCACATTCATAAATGTGTCCTAGTTAATCTAAAATTATAATAAAATACAGATAGTGCTTTGCAAATAGCAAGAGGTGCATCCCCTCTAAATAATTAAAACCACTTCTTGAAGGAATGGGTATAATAAAGCTTAATGTCAACAGTGCCTGAGCACTTCTCTACGTGCCTGGAACTAAAAACGGATCTGTATTTACTCCGGCTGCTACAAATACTTCCCAGATGCAGAGAAGTAACTAAGTAAGAGGAGAAGGTCAGTTACTGTCTACATGCCGACAGTCTCAAGGTACGCTCCCTGGGGAATGGGAAACCCCTACCCCCGATATAATCTCGCGTGCACTTGGGAGGCTCACGGACTGAGTCTAAACTCTCCCTTTGCTGCTTATCTGTGTGCCCTGGGCAGGTTCCCTCACTTCTCCAAGCCCCAATTTCTTTGTTTATAAATTGAGGTTATCACCCCTCCTTGCAAGGCTATTGCAGGGATTTATGGAGATAACAGAGGTAGAGTTCAAGGCCAGCAATGTACCAGCATGTGCTGGGTAAGTGATAGCTACTCTTTTTACATTTTTATGCTCATTAGCGGCAGCGATCCTGAGTCCATTACTGACCTCCTGCCGTCCGCCTTCTGGGTCTTTGCCCACTGCTCCACGTGCGCCAGGCTGCTCTTCCTCTGGCTGTGCTTCTCAGCGTTGGTCCTAGAAGGAAAGACCCGCTGGTACCCGCCAGTCCCGTTCTGCTCTCCTGGGCCAGATGTGCCAGGCAGCACACCGTTCCTCTCCGCCCTTTGGGGCTGAGCCTGCTGGCCTCTCGGGCCACAGGGTAAATCCACGAACAAGGCATCCTCTTCGGCGGGTGAGTATGGGGACCTGGCCTTGCTCCTGTCCCGCTTGCCCTCCAGCGGGTCCCTCTGGGAGCGGTACCGGTCTTCCTCCTGCTCCCGCCTCTCGAATCCAAAGGAATCCTCGTGTTTGCGATGAGAACAATCCCTTGCATGTCCGGGTCCCATGCGGCCACATTCTCGACAGGACTCTGTGTGGTTGGCCTGGGGGACCGCCTGCCGCTCCACCTTCTCCATGTCCCTGCAATGACAGCAGCACGTTCAGCCCAATCCAGACTGGAACCCCCAGCCAAGACTCCCCAAAGGATACACTTTACACTCCAATTACCTCCAGGCCTTTGCATGGGCTCTTCCCTCTGCCTGGAGCTCCTTTCATACCTATCCCCTTACTCTGCTGGCCTAACTTCTACTCCTCGGGGATCTGGCTTAAATGTCACCTCCTCCAGGAAGCCACCATACACATGCACACACCCAGTCTAGATCAGGATCTCAGCTGACCCCACTATTACACTAATCACACTGGACCATAACTGCATGTTTACTCATCTAGCGCCCAAGTAGACTATGAGCTCCTTCAGGCCAGAGGCCCAGCTGGCCATTCATCGTATGCCCAGAACTTCCGTGAAATAACGGTACAGAATAGGAGCTCTATAAATACCAATGAACAAACAAATGGTACATGTGGTATTCTCATGCCTTTCCCTTTTGCTATTTGTCCACCTGTCTGTCTGGGGCAGCTCAGCTTGGACAGAAGGCTCCTGAGCCAAGGGTCTCTCCCACTGGCATCCAGCACGGCCCAAAGTACAATTAGCAGCATAATTAACATTCTTCCAAGATGGTGAGTAGAGAATTGGCACAGCAATCTCTTTATATGACTACTTATCTATCTTGTCGGGGAACTGTTCAAACAGGAATGCAAGAACACTGACCTGACAAAAATTCTCTGAAGTATTATTAGGCAGATCTCAGAGATAAGGAAACGGAGGTACAGAGAAGATAAATGATTTGCCCAAGACCATACTGCTGGGAAAGAGAGACACCAGGGCTTAATCCCAGGCAGACTGCAGAGCCAATGTGCTATAGCCACTGCTCTCTACTGCCTCTCCAAATGCATGTCCATGATTTGCACATATGCAGACCTGGAAACTGTAAAGGAGAATGGGGTGGGGGTGACAGCGGAGGACGTGAACCGAGGCTAAAGAGCTTCTGGGGCATAGAGAAGGGCAGGTTTCTTTCATGGCCCATCTCGCACTGGAAGCTGCCTTTCTCCCCACCTCCTTGGGTCCTAGTTATGTCTGCCTCCTCATTACTTGATACCAGAGAGACAGCAGCAGCAGTTCCATGATCTTAGCAGAGTTTAGACTGGGGAGGCAGGGGAACCCACTCCAGCCTAGCTCAGAAGGACCAGAAAAATTACCAGGGAACCTTGAATGGGCAGCTGGTCGACTTGTGCTCCTTGGTAAAAAGGTCCTGGTCTAGACATCCATCACTCCTTGAAATAGCCAAGCCTGAGGGTTCTCCATTTCAACAGGAGAATGAACAATGGAAATGCTGCTGCCTTTACATCTCAGTGGCCAGACCTCAGGCGTCCCTGCAACATATCTCAGAACCTCAGCTACCAGTAATCAGCACTGATTCAGGGCAGATCAATCCAGTCAAGGAGCTGGTTAAAATGTCAATGTAAAGTGAAAATACAAACCCTAACACAGGTCTGCTTCTTAGTGTGTGCAGGCTGAACTGTTGGCCTTAACTTAGGCATGGAAACTGAGAAAAGCAATCTCACATCTCATGTCCATGTACTCGTGACTTCTCCATGAAAACCCAAAGCTTTGTGAGGGGGAAAAAAAAGCTTGTTTGGACCTTCTTCTATCCATCACTAGGGGACATCTTCCCCCACATCTCCCACCCCTTCTCCTAACAGTGTTTCAATTTTCATTTGGGGATCACCCTCCCCCACGCTCAGTCCTTGTGGTTTAAAAGGTGCTGCTGACTCTACAAGTCCCTGTGGAGCTGAGGCTCCAAAGTCTCAGTGACTGGCTCAGAGGCTGACACATCACCCAATCCAGGCCAATCAGAGTTAGCTCTAGGACTCTGGTTGGAGCTGGTCTTGAGCTGCTACGACTACATGGGAAGCAGCTACTTGAGAGTGAAACCAACACCAAGAAAAGCAGACGGAGAGAAATAGAATCTTAAAGACTTGGCCTGAACTCCTAGATCTAGCCATACCTAAACCAGATATATCCTTGGACTTTTTGGTTGTGCATCAATATATTCTGTTTCTCACTTAAGCTAGTCTGAGTTTGGTCTCTATTACTTATAGCAGAAGGAGTCCTATTACATCATTTTATAATGACATATTTAGATGGTGATCTCCAAGGACCCTTCCATTCTTAAAGTCCAGTGAGTCTATAAGCTCAAGTAGTAGGAACATATGGGAAATATTCAGGGACCTGCACTTTAAGAAAAAGCAATTCTTACCGTAAGTTTTTAAAGGGACAACTCTGTTCCACAATGTACACATTACAGGTTTTAACTTTGTCTTTCTTTTCTCCCTTTAATCCTCCCTCCCATCACCACATCAGTGTAACCCCAGCCTTCAAGTCATCTAAGTTGGCCTTTATCTTCTCTACTGTTTCTCACATTCAGGAAACCACCCCTTAGTGGTGTGCTTAGGCTGATGTCTAGAAGATTAAAGCTCTGGCTGCCCTCTGGGTCACACCCCAGCCAAGATACGGAATGAAGCTTTATAACCTGCTTACTCCAATTGTGAGACCGAAGTAACTATACCTCCTTGTTATTCCCACCACAAAGATAAACAGCCCCTTGCCGTAAAAGCCATGTAGTAAAACGAATATGCACCTAAATGGATGACGTTAGAATTGAAGGGAAAAGAGGGTTTCTTCAGTCGACAGATGAATGGATAAAGAAGATGTGGTACATATATGCAATGAAATGTTACTTAGCCATTAAAAAGAATGAAATAATGCCATTTGCAGCAACATGGATGGACCTGGAGATAGCATACTAAGTGAAGTAAGTCAGACAGAGAAAGACAAATACCATATAATATCACTGATATGTAGAATCTAAAATATGACACAAATGAACTTATCTATGAAACAGACCCACAGATACAGAGAAGAGACTTATGGTTGCAGGGGGTGGGGAGGTGTGGGGATGGATTGGGAGTTTGGGATTAGCAGATGCAAACTATTATATATAGAATGGATAACCAATAAGGTCCTACTGTATAGCACAGGGAACTATATTCAATATCCTGTGATAAACCAGAATGGAAAAGAATATGAAAATGAATGTACAGCACTTTGTACAGTCACTTTGCTGTACAGCAGAAATTAACACAACATTGTAAACCAACTATACTTCAATAAAATAAATTTTAAAATAAAATAAAATAAGAGGATTTCCTCAACTTCAGAACCCGGGGGTTGTGGGTACTATGTCTTAGTCGAACCAACTGCAACGGGGATTTTTCTTCCTTTACCAATCAACTTCCACGTATTTATTGAGAACCTATATATCCCCACTGGTACAGGCACTAGGAGATATAAGAAAGTAGTAGAGAAAATAGCCTCTGCTGTCAAACCCAGACAATCCTAAAGCCTGATTTAATCATGGTAACCACATTTAATACTGTTCTCATAAGCTGACCCCAAATCACGGAGTTTGCCAGTCTTTTCTAACCTTGGAATTAACTTATAACTACAAATAGTAGTCCCTACTGTGTGTGTACATATGAGTGTACATACTCCGATACATGCCAACACGTCCTGAATATAAAGTTGATTGAGAAAGACAAACCCTTTTCTCAGATCGACACCAGCATTTACTGCAAAACAAACCTTTAGAGGACGGCTAAAGGAATGGCTATCTGCTTGCTACCTGGCAGCTTTCTAGGCCCTAATACTCGGGGTTATGAACAGCTTCTATTTCCACAGCTGCTGGGACTCACCTCAGATAAGATGCCTTTGTGTCCAAAACGTTCAGGCTCTGGCTACAGGTAAGAAAGGTGAAGGGAATGTTCCCGACTCCCCCACCTTACCTCACAAACATTTAACTTAGTAAGTTACAGGATTTAAGGCAAAAGTGTTTTTTGGTCTTCTCCCTGTCTCCTTGCATTCCCACCAGTGTAACACATGACTTCTCACATCAGGAGATCTATCACAATAGATTTGCAATGCTCAGTTTAGCACAGTGGTGGGAAAGAATGAAGTATTCCTTGGCTTTCAGTGACGGTGTCATTCAGAGAAGTTGGCCATGCAGGGCACAGATGTTCAGCTAAGATGACACAAGCCTTTCTTGTGCAGGTCATTACTATTGTTGTGAGCACCTGGAATCAGTGACTATTCAAAAACACAGGGAATTCCTGACATTTGGTGACCATTTTGGCCACATGTGTCACTTCTCAAGCTTGACAAACCCAGAGTGCATAGGATTAGAGCCAGTCAGACCCGGATTCAAGAGCTGGCTCCTGCCCATAGAAGCTGGGTGACCTTGGGCAAGTCCCTAACCTCTCTGGTCTGAGGTTCCTCATCTGCAAAATGCGGACAACCCCCGCCTCCTTGGGTCGTTTTGAGGATTAAAGGAGACAATGCACAGGAAGAGCACAGCACTGGGGCTGGCAAACAGCGTGTCCTCAAATACAAATGTACTGGCTTCCAACGTCTATTCCCTCCTTCTTCCTGGCCCCAGTTTTTTCAAAGTGGCAAATGTACCCAACAAAAAACTTAAATTTCCTAACCTCCCTTGGAGCTGACGGTGTAACATAAATCTGGCCAATAAGATGTGCACAGAAATTGCTGGATGGGTCTTCCAGGAAAGCCTTTAAAAGAAGGAACGCTTAGCTCTCTTAGCTAACCCTTCCCTTCTTCCTGCCTGGAACTTAGACTCTATGCTGGATTGCAAGGTGACAAAAATGAGGATGAAAGCCACCTGCCAAAATCTGGGTAGAAAGTGAGAAAGAGCCTGGGTCCCTGATAGCATCATGGAGCTACTACATTAGCCCAAATTAACTGACTCTGGATCCCTGCTAGTGAGAAAACTAAAACTCAATTTGATTACGCCACCCTAAGTTGGATTGTTCTATTACTGGCAACCAAATGCAATCCCTAACTGATACAAGGGGCTGAGCCCATCATTAGCAGGGACTGGGCCACCCCATTTTCAGCACATCACAGCAATGCTTTATGTCTGCTTAGAGAAAATCCTTGTTTTCCCCTG